CTCTTGGGGTCAGAAAGATCAAGGATTTGGACATTTGCATCTTATACTTCAGTTTACACCACAATTGTAGTAAAAACTGTTTCAAAGCTGTCATAAGATTGGGAAGGCAAGGTATATTCTCAGACAAAAGGGACTCTCTTGGATTAACCCCATGACTTGACAAGGAACACTCTGTTTTAATATATCAATGGGATAGAGCAGTGTTTCTTGACCTTGGCAACTTTAAGATATGTGGACTTCAACTCCCAGAATTCCCCAGCCAGTCCAGATATCTTAAAGTTGCCAAGGTTGAGAAATACTGGGATAGAGTTTTAAATAATATACTTTTTGTTCCTAAGATGCAACAAAAGATTCTTTACCAAGTGTACTGGATCCTTCAGAAGATGCTTAGTAAACTTCATTATGTTAGAAGTATAAAGTGGTGCAGAGGACATTGATACACATTCTTTGGGCCTCTCCCTGGATTTAGAGATATAATGATTCATTACAGACATTTTCATCTTTGGCTAGTTCATTGATATTACAATCTGAATTAGTCTTGCTATCACTAATTAAATTGTCTGAAATACTATATATGGTGGTATCCTAGAGTGGGTTTAGAGTTTTGGAAAAGCTCATATTAAAAGACAAATGAGTTTTAGTAATCTTCAGATTCTTCTTCAACTCAGATTTCTATTGAAATTCTGTTGATTTCCTGGATTTCTTACTCCCATGCAGCAAACCTCCCTATCCCTCCCGCCCCAAATCCTGTAAGATACCAATGTCCCAATTCTCTATATTTCAGTGGACAGTAGCCAGATGAGTATAAAAAGAAGAGAGGTTTGATTCTTTCCTCCTTCCATAGCTATCACCTTGGCCATTTGGCTTTAAAGTACTTCAGGCTATGAAGATAGTCCTGAAAAAGAATATAAAGCCCAAAATCCACCATGCTTTTCCTTTTATTATTCTGCTGCACCAAGGCAATGAACAGGGAGTGGGAAAGAAGGGAGAGATATTCTCACCTTTCTTCTAATGATTAACTTGGCTGTGGAAACTGGCAATACATTGCTTTCTTATCACTGATGAAAGGAAAGAGAGTGAAGGACTGTAATAATTACCAAGTCATTTCAAATTGAGCTTGAAAATGTTTTCCCATATCTAACCCTTTTTTAAAAGATGTTCTTAATCCCATACTGATTATTAAGTCTGGTAATTATTAAGAAACTCCCAAAAATGATCTTAGTATGCATGTTTTTGCAATTTCACTTTGCAAAGTGAAATTGCAAAAGTCAGATTTAACTTTGGACTTCGATAAATAAAGGTCATAGGCAAATAACTTGTTTGTTTCTTCCAAATCCTAGATTGCAAATCCCCCTTCAAACTGATTTTTTAAATAACCGAGGGCCATTCTTGCTGGAGCTGTTGCCAGAGTGCGGGACTGATTTTTGTTCAGAGCCAAGATCCAAGGAGGTGTCATCTCCTTCTAAGGTAGCTAAATCAATGGGAAGATTCAGGCAATTTAATGGAGTTGTATCACCAGACCTAAGTATCAGTCTGGGCCTTTTGCTACATGATCCCTGAATTCTAAGAGTATATTGGAAGATATCCTTAGTGAGGCCCTTTAGGTGAGGCATGTTTGAGGATATGGCATTCCTGGGTCCCCACTATACTAAGGTCTGGGCTGCATTATGCTCCAAAAGAAATCTTGGTGAGATGTAGCACTGCTAGATTCCTCCTTATATCACTATATCAATTCCCAGACTTTGTGGAAGCTATAGATAAAATGCAAGTTAAATTAATTTTAAATGAGAATTCACAAAGCAATGAATGCTGGCAAGTCTCAACTTCTGAACAACATATGTCATTTCAGGTACTTTGCCAAACATGTTACAAAGTCTCAAGCAGCTTGCAACTTCAGGAAAAAAAATAACAAAAAGGCAGAAGAAAGAACTGGCAGGGTATATTTTGACAGCAGCTGTATATTACACTCTTCCCAAACAGCAACAAGTCTTTGTTTCTGATGGGTTGGGAATGCAATTTTGAGGTTGGACGTTTGTCCCCTTCCCTTGCTGACACAGCATGTGAACAAGAGTAATTTAGAAGGCAAGGAAAATAGTAAGAAGGTGAACAAAGAAGACAGCACAAAGTTTGAAGTAAAAAAAAAATGCTTCAGCTTCTAAGATCTGTAAATTGAACAGCAGGATTCAACATCGAAGATCACAAGCTCCATTAGAAAGGGTCATTTTCTTGGGATCAAAACAAGGGGAAGCAATAGAACAGCATCCTCCTAGTCTCCTAAAATGTGAAAAGTTGTTAACTTTTGCTAGTCATTTTTATAGCAAAATCCCTGCACAGGATGCAGCTATTCTGAATTTGTTCTCCATTTCAAGCCAGATGCTTTTGATACCTGAACTCAAGTAGAGATGCATATCTCCAAGATTTCAGTCTAGGATAATTCAGGATGTAAGCTGAAGAGCTCTAATTGATATATTTTTTTCCAGATTTGAAAGTATTTTAAGAAGTAATTAATTTGAATTTGTAAATGACATTTATTTCCTATAAAATTCTCCATTCAGGTTTACAAAAATAGCTCACCATGTTTATTCTCTTTAATGAATAGCCTTCTATGTCTCAATTGGTTTCTATGGTCAAAGTTTCTTTGCTATGGGTAGTATAAAATTAAAGGAAATCACACCATTCAGGGGATCCACAGAAGAATATAATTTTGTTTAGACAAGGAGGAGTGGGAGATACCACAAAACCCTTCTATGCTGAATGTCAGAAAAGTGACTACTGAACTTTTAGTCAGTATTAGCTTACTGAGGATCTGCACTGCACAGTTTCAAGGTGCCTCCATCTCTAACAAGTTGTCACTCAAAAGATTATAGGCTTAAATTATACTGAGCTGGTTATAACCTAGGTGGACCACATGCTAATACTGGAAAGAACTGTGGCTTAGTGTAAGAGGACATGTTGCCCATACTCAAAGTTCTGAGCTTGGTTTCCAGCAGCTCCTGAAAGGGTTGGAGATTTTTCAGCTTGAAACCTCAAGAAGCAATTACCTAGTTTCAAGTAAACCAATGTTTTTATTCAGAGAAAAGTACCTTGCTGTTGATGATGCTGTTGATTGGCTGAGTAACTGCCAATTGCTATAATTAGTCAAGTGATACATTTACACTGAGTTTTAAGTTATGCTCAAGGGCTTTGGAAACAGGAACAGGATCTAGCTGGTTTAGGGAGAGGCAGCTGCTAGAAAAAATACTGTAAACTTACAGAGACAAGAGGTGGAATCTGGTTGTAGGCTTTTATTGATAAAAGTGGCTTTTGTTGATGGCATGAAAGGTGCAATTTCTCCCTGGATCTCCCACATACTTCCAACTGAGCGTACTGCAACATGGTCTACATGGGGATGCCTTTGAAGACCATCCAGAAGCTTCAGTTGGTCCAGAATGCTGCAGCACATGTAGTTACGGGTACAGCATGTTATGTTCATGGAGTACCTCTACTCTGCAAGATGCACTGCCTTCCAATACATTCTTGGGTGCAATTCAAGGTCAGGTTATCACTTTTAAAGCCCTCCATGACTTAGGATTGGGTTACTTGTAGAACTACTTTTTCTCAAGAATATCTGCCTACCTGCTCCCACAGGGAGGGCACGGTTCAGATTCCTTCTTTTAGATCTTATCACCTTATGGGACCTAGGAAGCATGCCTTTTCGGTGGCCACTCTTCTCTGGAATGATCTCCCACTGCCCCCCTGACATACAACAGGTCCCAACTCTGCTCACCTTTAGGAAAGGTGCTAAGACCTGGCTTTTC